TGTTTTTTGTTTTTATCAGCTGTTTGGACTCTCATTCTGACGGCACCCATTCACTGCAGAGCATCCATGAGCAAGTGATGTAATGCTAAATTTCTCCAAATCTGAGGAAGAAACAAAACTCATCTACATCTTGGATGACCTGAGGGTGAGTAAATATTCATCAAAATTTCACTTTTGAGCACACAATTGTTTTTTAAGGCTGATATTAAGTGTTTGGCCTGTGCTGTTGTCCTTGGGATGAAATGAAAAAGTTTTAAAACCAGTTCACTACAGCAGCATTACATAACATATCTCGAAAGACACAAGAATGGTTGGACGCTCGAGTAGTGCAAATGCTTCACATAGTGATTTCAAAGAAAACAATGGCATTAAAACCCATGTCCAGCCAAGCTGACAGTGGTAAAAATGGCGTTAATGAAGTCATCACTCAAGGATTTTTACAGTTGAAATAAGGGGCAATCAGAGCTTGTCGGTCCACACACACACAGCATGTGGAGAGAGATCATCACAATATGCTCTAGTAATTCACCATCTAACGTCTATAAATACAAAGAGCTTTGGCATCCTCTTCCCAATTTAAAAGGATATAGTGAACACCTACAAAGGGTTGCAGACGCAGTCAATCGCATGCAGAGCTATAAAAAGAAAAGTCTATGAAGCAGCATGCAGTTCAAATTCTAAGCTCTAAGCACAAACCCCAATAAAAATATTATCAAATAGGGGATGCATTTCTGCAGATGCAAAAATATCTAGCGAATATTAATCATTGCAAAATGGTGTAACGTTGCTCAATGCAGCCAATAGATATTGATGGGGGAAAAGGCAGAGAACAGGAAAATGAAACTTAAGTTGTTTTGCTCTTGTGGGAGCCATTTGTGACGATCCCTGCTTCATGCAGCTGTATTAATCGTCCACTGATGCAATTTAACTTCTTAGGTAGCTGCTGATGCTTTCAGTTCCTAGGCAACCAGAAGGCGGCTGACTGCAGCTTAAAGTGACAGAGACCTGGGATGTTACACAAAGAAAGTCAATGGGGTAATACAAATCTAATCCTGTGTGTATTGCAGGACACAGGATTGCACATTATTTTCAGGTCTATTTCATTCTGATACTGTGTTTCCTCACTCTACATATGTTGCTTAAAACAGGTGAAACCCAAAAGAATGTTTGTTAATGAAGTCTTATCAAATAATTATTACAAAATACGCTCAAGAACAGTTCATTCATATTATCTCAGCCTGCTTATTTTGAATTGTCATAAAACAGTTAGTACAGAATTTTTAATACATGTTTTTACTCCTTTTTAGGTTAAAATTATACCATGGATGAATCTGTTTTCCAATATTATTATTACAAGCCTCTCTTAAATACTTGAATCTGATTGGTCGATCACAACATTGAGTGGGCCAATATATTTGCATTTTAACTAAACTAGATATTTCACCACTGTCCAGAATTTAAAATGTTCTTGAATTGTTTTCAACACTGTATTTGACTATTATTCTTAGTGGAAGCTTTAAGCTAATTTGTACAAAAATTAATATATTAATTGCAAATAAAATATGCCATGTTTTTATTTATTTTGGCAGTAACAATGTAGTATGTGCAACACACCAGTCATTATAGCAAAAATATTACATTACACGTTACATACATTATCCCTTACTTGACTTTATTTAACTTACTAGTCATTTTTAATAATGAGTTTGAAGCCAGTTCAACCTGTAGCGTGAACCAGCAATGGCCATACTGGTCCTATATAATACAGATGTGAATTTGACTGCATGATATTACTTATTGGGTCACTGAAATTAATGTGTAACAGCTTACACATGTGTAATTAATGTGTAACAGCAAAATGAGGTTACTGTTGTATTTCTACGTGAGAAAGTTTTCTCTGCATGTGATAAAAAGAAAACAAGCCCAGATCAAAACATTTCAAGCATATAACACGCAGAGCCATCAGTGCAACCGATCTCTACTAATCTAGACAAATATTAAAGTAGCGTGCTTTCTCTTACAGTCGCGTTATAAATAAACCTCGCGTGCTCTGCGCGCTCAGCCCCTCAAGTAGCTCTCTGTCAATGGAAATTCGATGGCAACACGTTTTTATTTACATTGCAACAGGCTAGGAGCATATTCGACACTAAATATGTATTCGGTTTAGGCTGTATTTAGTCGTTTGCAGAAGGCAGAATCTATTGGTCACCGCAGAAACCACTGATTAAATCACTATCTCCCATAGCTACATTAAGTTAAAGGCGGATGAGGAAGGAAACAGCCGATCCCTCCAGCTCTACAGGTGAAAGGGTTTGAATGTGAACCTATAAGAAATATAATACCTGAACACTTGTAAATGCAATCATTGTAACCATCAGCGCATCCAAAACTTCCATATGCATGCACTAAATCGGTTGCAAAGCATGCATGTGAGCTAATCGTGCCCGCATGTTTTAGCATTCAATCAAAACTAAGACAAGAAACAAATGAACTGCACTTACTTCTCTTTTGACGTTCCATAGTAATTTCTCTTTAAATTCTTCATCTGTAGTCGAACCCATTGTCCCAGATTGTTAAACAACCCAAGTGCAGCATAAACTGGCTGGAGACATAAATCTGAACGGCTCGCCTCCCTTCCTCCCAGTATTTCTTTACCCTTCCTTCCTTTTCATATAAATGTGTGTTCTGACAGCTGAGCGTTGACGCATCTAAGCACTGCCGTAGCGCATCTTGAAGCCATCTTCGGTTCCTTTATGACGCAATCACTGCTGGCCCCGCCCTCTTGGCATTGTAGATCAATGGGATAAATCTCTTGACGCGCCGTACGCCGTTCAGGCAGTGACGGCGAGTTATTTTTAGCTCCCCTCCACATTTGACAGCTCAGATAGAGGCGATTGTGGTGGTTCAACTAATCAGGCATAGTCATTAAGCGTTTAACAAGACATGATGTTCTTATGATCTACTGGATGAAAAGATGATGCATGATATCTCACATCCTATTATGGAAGAAACAGCTGGGTATTACCTATAAATGGCACAGGTGCATCCAACTGGAAAAAATAACAAGCACAAATTTTAATTATTTAAACTAATAAATATTTCACAGCTGTTTAAGGGGTTTGTGGTACAATTTATAATTTGCCTTTAAATTAATTAGTTAACCCCAAAATGAAAATTTGCTGAAAATTTATGTAAACGTAAATAAGTTTGTTTCTTCATAGCAAGATGTTTGGAGAAATTTAGCATTACATCACTTACTCACCAATGGATCCTCTGCAGTGAATGGGTGCCATCAGAATGAGTCCAAACAGATGATAAAAAACATCATAATAATCCACGACTCCAGTCCATGTTAACATCTTGTGAAATTTAAAGCTGTGCTTGTAGGATACAATTCCATCATTAAGGTCAGGTGGTTTAGCTTTAAACAGCATCTATAATGATTTTTACATCAAAAATCCACCGACATATTTTAGAACAATTTTTGCTTTTAAATCTGTGCATATTTCTCTCCTGATTCCGCTGAGCTGACTTTTTTCACTGGAGGAAGCAATATTATGATAGAGGACTCATATTTTAGCTGGAAGCAATGTTTGGCAGTTAAAAATGTCTTGATGGATTTACAAACATAAAATAGAAATATTTAAACACACAAACAAGCAGCCTTTCACTTCACAAAACAGATGTATTGTGGATTATTGTGATGTTTTCTACAGCTGTTTGGACTCTCATTCTGACGGCACCCATTCACTGCTGAGGATCCATCGGTGAACAAGTGATGTAACGATAAATTTCGCAAAGTCATCTACATTTTGGATGGCCTGAGGGTGAGAAAATCTTCAGCCAATTTAAATTTTTGGGTGGAACACTACTTAAATACATACTGTTAAAATTACTAGAGATAGAACTAAAAAACACAGAAAAGAAGAAAAATCTCTTTTTTTTTGTCCATACATTGACAGTCAAAGGGACCCAGTGTTGTTTTGGAGCTTACGGACCAATTTGAATTATTCTTAAAAAGATCCGCAAGGATTTTTTTTTGGGGTGAACTATTGTTTAAGATAAAAGAAAATATTCTGAGTGTTAAATAACTGGAGCAGGAAAGTTTTAGGTCACATTCATTCATTCATTCATTAAGCACTACATTAAACCATTTCTTTTCATCTTACTAGACAAAAATCAAACACTACAACCTGATTTTCACAAATATAAAACCCCAGGTCCATATACATGATTTCTTCTTCTTTCTTTTTCTTTTTTTTATCAAATCACAGTATCAGAAGATTAATGTAGGCATAAGGCAGGTTTGTAACAGAGTATATGATCCTGTACGGTTAGCAGAAACAGTGATGCATTTGGCAAATTCATCTTGGCAAGATGTTATCAAGACATTCTATGATTAGGTTAGTAACTACTATTTAAAAACAGTGTTTTCTAAAAATAAAAATGAGGTAAATTAATTTAAATACAGGAACTGACGCTAATTCATGATCAGCTTTTTGTGTTATGTTCACATTAATGTTCAAGCCGCATTTCATCCAAAACATCGATTGTCAAGCCCACAGTTAGGCTAATGTCCAAGTGGTCTGTCATCATAAGTGCTGTATCTTTTAATGTGGATGCGCCGCACACGCTCCCTCAGCTCCACGGCTTCCTCCTCTTCACTGTGTGAGCAACAATTGTTCCGTCTGCGGGTGGCCTCCAACAGAGAGTTATCTGGGACTGGGAGAGTCTCATACAGCAGGGCATTTAGCGTCTCCTCGTAGATCCGTGCTTCTGGAAACTCAACCTGAGCACATTACGAGAGTTCTTCTTTGTTACATTTAATCAGGCTATGAAAATGTCTCGAGAAATACCTTTTTAAAGATGACTTACCTTTGTCTGCTTCTTCTCAGTTGCATAAACAATGGATGTGCAGCAGACTTCTGCTAGCTTGCGCCTCTGTCCGTAAAAGGACCAGCAGCAGATCTCATCTCCAATGACATCTTTAATGAAGAGCACACGACTGCTGTAGCTCAGAGACAGCTTCTCAAACAACTCGATATTCTTGAGTAGGTTGTCATCCGAGTTGCTTTTGAGGAAAATAAAATAGCAATCAAAAAGAAAACAAGTATTGACACTAGAAGCCAAATGAATCTCTCAAAAAGGTAAATCATGTTGAATGTTATAGCATAGTATTTACCTTGTATAGGAATATTTGTTGTTACCTCGGTTGTAAAGCAGTTTTACAGCAGGCTATAAGTGGAAAAATAATAATGCCAAAAGACATTCAGAGTTGCAGATTTTCTTGTTTTTATGTGAACAAACCAAACCCCAAAAGACAGAATATTTTCACTCCAGGAAAGTCTCACCCTTACGCAGCCTTGTATCAGTCTCTCCTCCTCTTTAAGAGATGTTATGACCGGGATAACACACAAAGCCTTTTCTTCATTATCCTACCAACAAACAAACTAATAAAAAAAATGGATCTCACAAAGCCTGCCAAGAAATATCCGGGTCATATTTCACCCCAAAATTATCATTAATATTATTATTTTTTTTTTTTTTTTTTGACATAAAAAAATATGTTTGCTTTTAAGAACATTTAAATAGCTTGCATTATTCTTTTACATACACTACATTTTCAAAGGCCTGCAGTCAGTATGATTGTTTTCTGAAAGAAATTAATACTTTTATTAAGCAAACTTATGCCAGCAATGCAAATTTATTAAATTGTTCAAAAATGACAGTAAAGACTTTAATAATGTTACAAAATATTTCCATTTCAAATCAAGGCATTTTTAAGCTTTCTATTCATCAAAAGGAACAAATTCATCAAAAAAAAAAAAAAACCCTGCAAAAAAAAAAAAAGCATCGCAATTTCCACAAAAATCAGCACAACCGTTTTCATATAAAATATGAAAAGTTATTTTAAATTGTAATAATATTTCACACCGTTACTGTTTGTACTTTTTCTTTAGATAAACGCAGTCTTTGTGAGAGCAAGAGACTTCTTTCAAAAACATAATAAAAACGTTTTACCGACCCCAAACTTATAATGAACGGTAATGTATATTATTATATGATATTACAAGACTTTGCCTCAATTTCCATTACCATAATTCAGAAGTCTTCAACCCTGTTCCTGCCTGGGGACCCACTGTCCTGCAGAGTTTAGCTACAAACCACACACCTGAAGCAGCTAATCAAGCACCTCAAGATTGCTTGAAAATACACAGTCAGGTGTCCTAAAGCAGGTTGGAAATAAACTTTGCAGGACAGTGGGTCCCCAGGAGCAGGGTTGAAGACCTCTGCCATAATGCACCCAAATCTTTACTATTCCCATTATCTTCAAACAGGATTTTCATTATTGTAATATACATTTTATTTTACTGTTATACAGTAAAACAATTCTGTTACACAATGATTAGTCTTAATTAAAATGATTATATATTAAATCAGTAAAACAAATTGTACACAGATGTAAAGTATTTGAAAAATTTTTTCAAATGAGATTGTACTTCCTTCGCCAGCAGAGGAAATTCAACCTGCCACAGGAGCTGCTCACACAGTTCTACTCAGCTGTCACGTCTGTCCGTCACGTCACGTCAGGAGTCTGTCCTGTGCACTTCAGTAACTGTCTGGTTTGGCTCAGCTACAAAATCAGACATTAGAAAACTACAGAGGACGGTTCGGATAGCTGAAAGGATTATTGGCGCTCCCCTGCCCACGCTTCAAGAACTGTATATTTCCAGGGTGAGGAAAAGTACTGAGTGAGGTTCAAAAAAATCACTCTGGATCCCTCACATCCAAGCCATCTCCTTTGTGAACTTTTAACATCTGGTCGGCGCTACAGAGCACTGAACACCAGGACTGCCAAGCACAAGAAAATTCTTACCACAGGCAATCTACCTCAAAAACAGTTAAATGCTCTCCCCTACTGTTCAATAAAAAGATGTGCAATACCACTTTTATTTATTTAATACTACCCTACATCTTATTCCATTCCTTGTAAGTTCTATTACATCTATATAGCACAACTGTACATACTAATTTTGTCATATATATATATATATATATATATATATATATATGACAAAATTAGTATGTACAGTTGTGCTATATAGATGTAATAGAACTTACAAGGAATGGAATAAGATGTAGGGTAGTATTAAATAAATAAAAGTGGTATTGCACATCTTTTTATTGAACAGTAGGGGAGAGCATTTAACTGTTTTTGAGGTAGATTGCCTGGGGGAAGAAACTGTTCT